GTGTGTGTGTGTGTGTGTGTGTGTGTGTGTGTGTGTGTGTGTGTGTGTGTGTGTGTGTGTGTGTGAGATCATACTCATTGGGACATCAACATGAGACGGTTAAGTTCACACAGTTGAGGCATTAAACTGTAACACCATCCTCAGGTCGGGTCACCTGACCCTGTAATCCTCACTGTGGCTTATGAGGTGAAGTGGTCCTGGATCTGTATTTGGGTTTTAAGATGCTTACGTCTGCGCTTTGGTTCTGAGCAGCGTGTTCAGGTTAAGACCCGCAGCCCTGACACCACTGACCCATTCCCAGAGCGGCGCTGCGTTCACAGGCTCCGCTCAAGGCATCATTACATAAGTGCGTCTTCTACAGTGGATGATATGAAAGAGGGAGACGAGCTCAGGAATAAACACAGACTCAGTTTGATCGCAGGTCGCTGTGTCTTTAAAGTTAGATATTCTTTTAACGACTGAACACAAAGCTGAACAATCGTTGTCCCTGACCGTGGCTCATGTTGTGTTTTCCAGAGTCGGAACCCGACAGTTCCTCGGCTCTCGTCACCTACAACCCCGAACAGCTTCCCCCAGAAAACTCGTCCTTCCTCGAGAGGAGCTTTGTCTGTCGTTTCCGCTGCCTGCTGGACAACTCCTCCGGCTTCCTGGTGGGTCACACGTTAAAGCAAAGAAAACACGAGGAACAAAGATGTTTTTATATCAGACTTGTCCCTGACTGCTGATTGTTTTATTGAAACTTGGTGGAAAGGTGGAATATGTCCAAGGAAGAATCCACTCATTGTTGATTCACATTTGATTTAAACTGAGCTGCGACTGCGGAGGTTTTGTGAAATCTGGTCAGTAACAAAGTTGGACCCAGATTGTCTGGTAAAGTTTCAGAGTCTTAAACTTCCAAACTGTCTGATAATCATCAACTTTTCTCAAACTGCTGTTCTCATCCTTACTTTCTCGTCTGCAGGCGTTGAACATCCAGGGCCGGCTCAAGTTTCTGCACGGGCAGAACCAGCGACAGGAGAACGGAGGAAAGGCCCCGCCGCAGCTCGCCCTCTTCACCATCGCCACTCCGCTGCAGCCTCCGTCCATCCTGGAGATCAGGACCAAGAACATGATCTTCAGAACCAAACACAAGCTGGACTTCACACCTCTGGCCTGTGACGCAAAGTAATGAAACCGACGAGCAACACACAGTCTCAACAAGCCACGAGAATATTCTAATATATCACATCCATTTTGTTTTGCTGCTAATAATTCCTCGTTGCAGTCGTATGTGATGAACATATTCTCCACACACAGGGGGAAGATAGTTCTGGGCTACACAGAGGCTGAACTGCGGGTACGAGGATCTGGATATCAGTTCATCCACGCAGCTGATATGTTGTACTGCGCAGAAAACCACGTCAGAAGTAAGTTACGCTGCAAACATCGATTCCACTTATCAATCAAAAAATAATTTGTTCTTTCCTACATTATAAAACAACTTTTATTATTTTATTGATTCGTGTCTTTGAAAACTGGTTGACATCAACTCAAGTCATTTCAAGACTCTTTAAATTTTTTATTAACAATAAATGAATCTAGTAAGTAATTATTAAAAAAACAAAATATGTAAGAATCCAGTTCACATGTAAAACTACACGGGAAAAGTTAACGTCTTCCTCTTCGTCCCACATCTCACCCTTCCAGCAAGTTTCAGGAAAGTCAGTTTAGTTTTTGCGTAATCCTGCTGACGGACAATCAAACGGCAAAGAAAGGAAAACTCCTCGGGGGAGGTAATGACCTCATGCTCTGGAGGATGGACGCACGCATAATTTCACAAGATGCCGTTAATCCTCTAAACTGCTGCAGCACAATCGTTCTGTCCGAATGTCAACACAGTCTGAAAGTCACCGTTCGATAAAGACGAGATAATCAGTCTTTGCTTATCGGACAGAACCGTGGTCCTACTTTCAGTTTGATTCTGTTTCTAAACAAAGTTGGGGCGGCCTGGTGAGACCTGGTCAGAGAGTTCAGACAGCTTTCACAAGTAATCCTGCTGGATTACGAAGCAGATTGAGCAAAGCTGCAGAGCTGCCAGAAGAGAGGATAGGGCCCACAAATCCAACGCATGAGCAAAGCATGAGAGATGATCCATACCGCAGCAGCAAACACACACAAACATGGCCGAGGTCAAACATGTTGCTGAGCACGCTCTCGTGGCCGGAGCGCACGGATCAGTGCAGTTTAATCAACATGCAGGAGTCAGGGCGGGATTCTGTTCCCTGACTCACCTTCTCATCTTCCTTTTCATTTTCTCAAAACCGAACGTCAACGTAACGACAGGATTCATTTTTACATCAAGATGAGGATTTTGAAAAGTGCTCATGATCCAAGTAGAGCTCATTGTTTCCTGCTCTGTAATATAGTGAATGTTACTAGAATGACTCAGTAGAGCTCTTACCTTCACTCAACCTCTGTCTCCCAACAGATCCCAGATTTTTATTTGGATCTGCTCCAAATTACACAAACTCGTAAATATCGCTCCCTTAAACGCGCCAAATCATTTGTTCTCTGGGAAATCAGGGAAAATATCGAAAGAAAAGTTGAAAATGTTAAAGAAGGTGAGAAGAAAACCTTCCTGGAGTGAAAGATCTTTTATCTGGGAACATTTTATGTGTTTTCTCTTCGCCCATGTCCCATCAGTCTATATTCTAGTTTGGTGGAAATCTGTTCAGCTGTTTTTGCACAATCCTGCTGACACACCTCCACCAAGGCCCAACGATAAGAATCACTCCTGTAAATATGAAGTCTTTCTGCCAGATGCAGGAATTATTTCCTGAGAAATCAACAAAAATGTTGGAATTCCTGGATCCATGTGTGGATCTGCACCAGAATGTGCTGAGTTCTCCTCTGACTCACAACTTCTCCTTCCGCCGAGTTTCCTGTTGAGTTGTTTTTGTGTAATCTTGCCTTCAAACTAACACATGACACAATCAAGCAGACGTTTTCGCTCCACATCCAGTTCGACTCTCTCCAGAAAAAGACTCCACTCGTCCCTGCTGGTAGAGAGGAGCTTACTGTGTCAACTTAAATAACCTCCTCCTCCTAACGACCTTAAATTAACTAAGAAGTCACCTCACAGGACGTCTGGCCGTTGAATTTCCTCCTTTTAACAGCCCGGGGCTCGGCTCTGTGCTTCCAGGAGGTTTATATTATTTTTCCATGTGGAGTTTATTACTTATACCTGTTTTTGTTTTGTATGTTTGTAGTGATGAAGACGGGAGAAAGTGGTCTGACGGTGTTCAGGCTCCTCACCAAGGAGAATCGCTGGAAATGGGTCCAGGCTAATGCCCGACTGGTTTACAAGAACGGCAAACCGGACTACATCATCGCCACCCAGAGGCCTCTCTTGTATGTTCCTGTCCCTTCGTGTTGTGTTGTGAACCAACAAGTTGTTCCAGTAGACGAACAAAACAAGAATAATGAAATGTTATAATATACATGTATATAAAAATCCGTTTCTCTGGGGTCAACTAACCTCTGCTCTTTGAATTAATCGTTTTAGCATAAAGTTGAATTGCCATATTTTAAAATGCGTGTTGTAATGTGACACATTTCACATCGGTCGTTTGTGGGAAATTTAACTTAAACATGTTTGAAAAGTGGCTAAGAACCAAACACAAGCTGCAAAGGTCTCCAGATCCCAATCCTGTTTTCTGTCGTCACAGGGATGAAGAGGGAGGAGAACACTTGCGTAAGCGCTCCATGCATCTGCCCTTCACCTACGCCACAGGCGAGGCTCTGCTCTACCAGTCCAACCATCCCATCGCGGGCTTCGGAGACGGAAGCCACGAGAAAAACGGCAGCAAATCAAAGAAGAGCCGGACTGACAGGCTGGTGAGGGACGGTCTGGACCCTGGCTCCCTCCTGGGGGCGCTCATGAGTCAGGATGAGTCGGTGTACGTTTGTCAGCCGGCCCTGGAGCCCAAGATGTCGTTCCACAGCACTTTCTTTGGCGAGCAAATGGGCTTCTCTGACTCCGAGCCCTCCAGCTTGCACCGGAGCTGGGACGAGCCGAGCAACGGTGTGGTGGGTCCGGGCCTCGTCGAGCCGAACACGAGCTTCGACCCGCTGCTGGCGACTCTGGACTCGCTGTCCTTGGAAGGCCAGGGCGTGGTGGATGCGGACGAGGGGGGTTGTTCTAACGGGGAGCTGTTTGGAGCTCTGGAGGGTTTGGGGCTGAGCGCCGAGGACCTGGAGCTGCTGCTGCTTGACGAGCGGATGATCAGAATTGAGATGGACCCTGAACGGGTGCCGACGCTGGACGACCTGCTGACGAACGACGAGATCCTTTCGTACATCTACGACTCCATAGAGGGAAAGACCGACTCCGCAGAGCACAGGGGACAGGGGCCTCCTAGCACCACCTCCGCTACTGCCACAACATTGTCCCTTCCCGAAAGTAATCCCACCTCTGACACTAATGTGCAAATGCAGTTTCCTCATCACAAGCCCCCCCTGGTGGCGCAGGCGCCCATCGTGCAGCTGTCGCAGCAGATGCAGCAGCACCTCAACATGCAAACAGGTAAAGTGACGCACGACTGGGGCCTGCAGAGCGACCATTTGACAAACACGATAGTTAACGGAGAGCTGCGGGGGCAAAATCAATCGGTCTCTAACGGTCAGTGGACGGCACAAGGGGTTCTGACCAGTGCAGGGATACAACTGGGACACTTGAACACGCAACAGACGGTTTTCAACGGTAAGGCCTCCGAGGTGGATCAGCAGCAAACACATCAACACTACCTGCAGCAGCAGCAGCCCAGGATGCAGAACCAGCTCTCACAGCAGTGCCATACCAAACACAAGGCGTCCAACCTCAACGGACTGTGTGGCATCTCCAGCACAGAGCACGCAGCTGGGAAGTCCCAGTGGCAGGACTACGGATTCGGAGATTTACGGAGTCTGGGCAGCAGCACCTGCCTGGACAACAGCCAAAAACCTCTTACGAGCACCTCACTGGATTCCTGCATGGATTACAGCATGGCTGATGTTGAGAACGCAGATTACACCATCAGCGGAAGCGGTTTGTTCGGGAGGAGCGGGCAGCAGCACGGGGCCGAGTCCATGGTCTCGTCCTTCCAGGGGATGAACCACAAACGGCCGCAGGAGCAGATCTCGGTTCCTTTGGCTCAGGTCATCTCCGGCCTGTCGCAGTGCCCTCCCCCCAACGCCTCCCTGGAGCAGATCCTGGGTGTGGCTAAACCCTGCCGGCAGCTAGACCATTACGGCATGGTGACGTCGGAGATGCCTCACGATCCCAATCACAGCAAGGTGAGGTCACGAAATGTGCACTTAGCTGCTGTTAAAGGAAATGGATCTCAAACTTTTCAAAACGTTTTGTTGCGTGATCATCAATTTTGATCGTCGTGGTTTTCGTTACGTTCTTTTTCTCTTTTCTTCGTGGGTTCGTTCCAATACTTTAACAATTCATCAATTACTCAACATAAACAAATTTAATCCCCATTTTGTTAGTAAAAGTAAAAATGACAAAACTCTTTGGCAATGATTCCTAAGCCACTGTTTTTGAATGCTAGCGATAAATGAATTTATATTTTACAGTTTAACCATGAACATCATCATAATTAAATATAAACAAAAAGGAAACGTGAATGAAAAAAGCGTTTAAGGTGGACAACGTTTTGAACGGGATGAAAACAACTCAAAACATGTCCAACATTTGAGGAACTGAACTTGCTGTCAATATTCCTCTCTCTCTCTCTCTCACACACACACACACACACACTCTCGTAACTCCGTCGCACACTGACCTTTCCTTATATTTAAAACTTCCAGCTGCTGCCTCCTCGGGGGAATCTGTCAACATTTAGTACAAATTCTAATCAGGCAGTCGTGACCTTTCCAGAGTTAAATCAAGCTCCTCGATAAACGACCTCTCCGACGAAGGCGACTGTGAATTTAACAACATTAAGAACCATGAGTCTAATGTTCAGTGTAACTTGTGAGTATCATATTGTGACGTCCGCTGTGATTCAGCAGCTCAATTATTTAGTGTGTGGCACCAAAAATACCTCATTTGTGCCCTTTATTTTAATTTATCGTGTGTGCATATAAATCTTTTATTCTCATATATTATGTGTGTGTCAGGGGTTAGATGGTACAGTGCTACGAACTACACTGTAATAAACAGGTTGGATTAATCATCACGCACGGAATAAGACAACAGTTCAATTCAAGAAAATTGTCCTTTTTGCTCGCCATTATTTTTATTTTAAAAAATCAGAGCATCACTGTTGTTCTTGTCTAAAAGTTTGAAATATGTTGGTTTCTCTGCTGTAGAAAATGGAAAACTACTGAAACTGGACACGTGTTATTTAGTTTGGCCCATTCTTCTCAACGAGAGCAGGCTGAAAGTGTAATGCAACACAAACAGCAACGCAAACTGTCCTTTAAAATGACTGTGAAGTTAAATTGACTCCAAAAAACTGAGCGTTCATGAAGGTGGGTCTATTCCCAGAGTTGATAAGTTTGATCAAGGTGTTCCTAATAAACTGGCCACACGTGCTCTGTGTGTACTGGCTGTCATTCAAATGTAAAACAACTTTTAATTGGTTGCACTGACAAATTGCAGAATTTGAAATCTTTACATTTACAGTCTCAATTAAAACCAGTGAACTCACGACATTGGTGTGTGTATCAGTAACTTTTACATCATTACATCTGTCAAGTTAAAAGATGACACGTTGAGTTTTCACATCTGGAGCTGAAGGATGATAATGGTCATTCTTATAAATACTAAGGTGCTTTCTATCATATTACTACTATTTAAAGCTGATTTGATATCTGTGCGCCTCTATTCACTCCCACAGCGATTTACAACACACAATATAAAACACACACGATCAGAATAAATGATAATAACACAGATAATAAAAGCAAAAGACTTCAAGTGATAAAAGATCCCAACATGTAACGAATGAATGAAGGGAAATGTGATTAAAAACATTTATTTTGTTCATTTTGGGTTTGAACATCTTTAATGAAGAGCTGGAACAAGCTCATGAAGTGATGCAGACGTGGATTAGATTCATGTTCCAGCATTAAAGTTACTAAAACAGTATCACATATATATTTATATATAAATATATATTACAGTATTTTATGATGTTAATACTGCAGCGCTCTCCTCTTCTCGTATAGATGGAGAACGGCTGCATCCTGAACAGCACTTACCCAGGAGGCTGTGCTCTGCCCAACGGAAACGGACCAGCGCCCCCTACTGTCCAGATGCCCGGCCCCGAGACTCTGTCAAGCCTCCCCGACCCTCCAGCCACCGGCTTCTACCTCTGACCGTCTGACCCGGCAACAGTCAACACACACTGTTACTGGCCAGAGACACACAATGACTGGAGCAGCCTTATAGAAACCATAAGAAACCAAGCTGAACAAACGTAGGCCTATGTGTATTTCTTTTTCTTTTTCTTTTTTTATTTGGATTGTATTTCTTTTTTGGGGGAGGAGGGGATCACGGTGTTGTATTTCAAGACAGATTATCATACGAGTCCTTTGTTTACAATAATGCAGTCAAGAGAGCCGAGTTCCTTTTAATGCAGAGACGGAAATGTGAGTTTCTGTGAAGCTGAGTTTTATGAGTTCAGACACAACACAAAGCACAGTTTAGAGTTAGAGGCAGCTAAATGTTTGGATGCTGACGGGACTTTGAAAATCAATTATTCTCTATATTAAAAAAACAATTAATGCAGGATTTCTGTTAAAACAATTTGTTGAATTGGTCCTTAAACATTTGGATTAACTTTGTTTTATTGTTGGATCAATGATCCTGAAGCTCGCCACAGATTAGGACATATACTTTTCCTAATTCCAACCTTTTGAAATGTCTCCTGCCTGCTGCACACCCGAGGATTTACCTGATTCTCAATCTTTTAATCGTGAGAACGCACAGATGAGACGATCCAGTCGAGATGCAGCGACACTTCCTCAAAGTTTGAATCATTTCCAGAGACTTTGTTCCCACAATTGCACAAGTTTGTCCTTTTCTACTGTCCCTGTGGTCCAGGAGACACAGATTCAGTCTGTGACATTAAGATTATTTCTGTCCTCAGGTGTTCAGCAGCCATTTTCTGACATTTTACACACAAACTTATTTATCGATCAGTCGAGAATATAACGATAACGATAACGATGATTGAAAAATGTGGCAGCTCTAAATTTCTAAGACGCAGACAAACCAGGATGTTGAATCTGACCGAGCAGCAACTGCAGTTTCCTCTGTTTTCTGATTTTTACATTTTCAGCAGATTTGTCCCAAATTTCCCAGATTCAAATTATACTCTGGTGTTAGAGGTAGAATATAAACTGTGTTTGTCTCCGGCTTTTTGTCACTGAACGTCGACGGGAGACGTCAGCGCCGCTCATGCTTCTTTCGTCACGTAACAAGAATGTAATTTTTTCCGTGTTCGGTGATTTCTTTGTTGAACAGTTTTTTACTCGTCAGCAACGAGATTATTTTTCGTATGTTTGGAGGAAAAAAAAAAAAAAAAAGTCTAGAATATGGAAATCATGGCTAGAAATATCCTGCACTTTATTTCAAGCACCCACTTAATGCAGATCTGTAGTCAGGGACCCTGGGGAACAACAGACCCTGTTTTTATTTTGTTGTTGTTGTTGTTGTTGTTTATCTTTGAAACAAGATGGACAAGTTTGTATTTTTTACTCCGACGGTGAGGAACATTTCAGGTGACGCGTTAAAGTCCTCACAAGCACAAACTCTCCTGTACGATTTCTTAGTGTCATCATTTTCATCTTGAATTTTTTTTGTGGTTGTTGATAATGTTTAAAAATATTCGGACCTCTTGGATGAGTTTTCTTTTCTTTTCTTTTTTCTTTTCTTTTGTTAAAGTTTAACGGACCTAATTAGGAGATTTCACCTAGTTTGAATTTACTGTATTTATTTGTGTCCTACAGCGAGTTAGCATTCCGGATTGTTTTTGAAGTTGATGTGTGACACAGGTTTTTTTGAACAAAAAGCACTGATGTGAAAAAAAGAACTAGAAAATGTCCTCTGTCGTTCTCCGCTGAAGCAGTTGTTGCTCTTCTGAGGACACCAGCTCAGTCTTTTTCTTTTTTTTTTTACAGTGAATCCAAACCCACGTCCATTACAGAACAAACGAACCCGAGATTTTAGAGAAAAAGTTTGACGTGTCCGGAGAAGAAATCTCTTTTGTCTTGTCGCTCAGAGGGAGAGAAGCCCAGAGACTTTAAACAAAGACGGACAACGTCTCCACGTCCTCCCTCTGTCTAGAAATGAAGCCAGAATATCCCATACGCATGCCGCCATCTTGTGCCTGATTACATCACTCGGAGTCAGTTTGTGCTCGACCAATCGGGAGTCAGCTGTCAATCATAACGTGCTGATCGGAAACATGAGCAAACATCGGTGTGATAAGAACGACCTGAAACGACCCAAACCATTTTGACTTTGACTTTTTGATTCAGTCGATGTCCGATCTACGAACACGGTGGAGGCGGGGAGTATGACTTACACCGCAGGCAGCCACCAGGGGGCGAGTGAGACCCTTTGGCATCAACACCCTCTGGTGGCCGGCTGCGGTATAGGTCATGACTCAATCCATCCATGTGAAATGTGAGAAAATCACGTTACTCAGGTGAGTTTGACCGGACAATCTTTTGTGTTTCTTCACGTGAGCAACGCAAGTAAACACAACTCACACATATTTACAATCGGTAACATCTACAGTTGCATTGTGGGTCCAGAAGATCATCAATATTTGTTCTCGAGCGGTTGAAAACCACTGACTTTGTATTTTGCTCCAGATCGATGGCAGCATTTTAATCTTGGATATTTTTGGCAGAGTGGGAGAAAGTTTTATTTTCAATCTGTGACTCCTTCAAACTGATTTACATTCATCTCCTCACCTGAATTTATTGTCTGAGTTATGGAACAAAAACCGTTTCTCCTCAAAATGTCAAACTTTTCCTCTGAAACCGCGGAGAAACTTTGTTTACATCATCAGGTCGGTAACTTCAGGTGTTCACGGGATCTTGGCGCAGGTACAGAATGGTAAACACTGAAAAAAAACCAAATGTGAGTATTAAGAAGAGGCGTCATCTCTTCTGGAAGGATTTAGTTCTGAATGTTTCTTGTACATAGTGAAATGACTGGAAAATGATGCAGAGTAGAATTATTTCAACAAGAAAAGATGCTGAAAAGAGATTTCCATTTAATTATTCAAATAATGTCATACTGTCGGTATTAATATTATTGCTGTATGTTTTATGTTGAAATGTGAAACACACGTCGTTCGAAATGTTATTCTTCCCTTTGTTTTTTTTTTCTACAGCAGAAATGTTTGCTATATTTAATATGATTGATGTGACTTATTAACAGTGTGAAGTAAAAAAAAAAAAAAAAAAGATGTGTATATAAAGCGAACCAGCTTTGACAAATACAGGTATGTACATAGTTTTACGTCGAGTCACTCGTTTCAAGCACTATTTTTAAAACACATGCTTATCAAACTCCTTGGTTGATTCTTTTTCGTTTTTCTTTTTTAAAAAAGTTGTAAATAGTTTGCTCACCACAGAACACTGGACTCTATGACAGCCTGAAAATGGTGCCATACTACTGAGACTTGTTGAATAGGCTATAATGTTGAGAGAGTTTAATCTTGTCTTTCTGGGTAGCCACAGTGACGTTAACATGCTAACAGGACAAGGTGTAGATGTTGTAGATTTGACCCGTGTCCTTTGACTGCTTGTTTCAAATGTATAATTTTCTTCCTTTGAAATAAAGGATTTCTTCAATCACAGTGAAATAAAAAAGCAAACATCGTTCGAGTGTATGTATCTGGTGCGTCTCGGCGCTCTGAGGCCTCCGGTTGTGGTCGCGTCACGAAAACTGTGATAAAGACGGACAACACGTCTCCACAATTATAGAGCTTAAATATCCGGGATACGGGAACAAGCATCTTCGGAGTAGTGGTCCTGGTGTGGAAGTGCAATTAGGCCTCAGAAACATAAACACTCGAACATACATCGGGGACCAGAACTACCTAAATGTATGCGAAAATTATATTTAACGTGTAATTTGATTCTTTAGTTTGGTCCATGTCCCAACTGTGAACATAGACGATCAAGACACCCTGGCTTCACGTTGTGGTCGCAGTCACATCGTCCATCTTTATGTACGAACTGTTGGTTCAGGTTAGCTAACAGAGGATTTCACAACTTATCCTCTAGCAACAGAGCTGCTGTTGAACATCTTGATTTAGTTTTAATGCCCCTCGTTTTTTGTTGTTGTTACGTTTTTACCATTAGCTGTTCGATCAAGTTAAAGCCTCAAACATTTGTGTTTAAGCAGCTGACATTCTGGTGTCTTCGTCACCCAAGCGCAATGAATCCTGGGATCAGTTGGCCAGAGAAGGGTCCACCCGTCAGAGCTGTTAGGGGAGGGGGTCCTGCACCACAAATCCACCGTCATGGCTGCCAGTGCAGGAAGATGCTCCGAGCTCAGGACCTTCAGGTGCGCGTTAAAGACGTTTAATAGACAAAACGCACAAGTCCGTTCTCCTGCCACCGCGATGTGAGGAAGTATTGGAAGGATGAGTGGATGTGATAAAGGAGGGATGACAGAGGAGGTGAAAGTCACATCGAAAGCCAGACGACTTGTTGTTGCTGTAATAAGCTCCCCCACTGTTAAAAGCACCCGTGTGCATTTCCTGTTTCCTTAAACAGCTGCTTGTCTCCGCAGGGGATCTTATTAGAGCTTCTGATTGTGTAACTGTAAACAACGAGGGCGGCATGAGAGGGGGAGATGGGTGAGGTGCACGCACAGGTTTGAAAGGAAGGAGGGACCCAGCGACTGAAGACGTTTTCAGACACGAACTCTAGAAAACGTCCATGGAAAAATCAGATCAGGACGTTTTCGGGATTTTTCACATCCGAAGACGCAGCAGGAGATTGTTCAGGTCAGACCGGATCCCAGCGGGAGGCACGACATGACGTTTGAGTTCTGCTGCGGGAATCACGTGTTTTCGTTTACTTCTGCCCTTATCGCCAAAAGCTCTCGAATCTCCACGTGTTAGAAACGTCATTTTACATTTACCTTCTCACCCGGGCTCACCTGGACTGAGGGGTTTGGCAGGAAAACTTCTGGAAAACGTGCTGATGAGAAATAACTGATGAAGAAGTTTTAAAAAAGCACAAAGAGTTTGTCATGAAGTAACTTACAAGTTTCCATAATTGACCTGATTTTGCTCCGACCCCTCTGGAAACCTCCTGACGTTGAAGAGAAAAGGCATGTTAGTGCTTGTTCGTGTCCTCGGCCACACAGGAAGTAGATTTGATAAAGTGTAAATCCCTCTGAGGATGACGAGCATCACTTCTGCTGCAGTATTGAAGATGAGGCCTCCTTGTTTCCGACAGGAAACCAGAGCAGGGGGATGCAGAGGAGGAAACAATCAATATGCAAACACACTCGCTAACGCTCTCTTGTGTTGTTATTTTAAGGATCAGATACTGAGGAGACGTCGGTGTGAGTTCCTCCGAGGGCATCGGGAGCAGAGATCCAGGTTGAGTGGTGGAGGCGAGGGCGGAGGTTTGGAGGCGCTGAAGCTGTCCTCATTTACACAGAGACACATCTTGAGTCATTCTGATCTGAGCAGGCGAGAGACAGAACATCAGGACCGAGTGTGCCTGAGGGAGGCTGTCACAGAGACAGAGGTTTGAGGCGGCTCCAGCGACCTCAGACATATTTAGATGATAAGCAGGAGTCTCTCTGACCGTAGAGGAGACGTGACTCATCAGGAGAACATCGAGTTCCACCGTCTGTCACAGCCACGCTGTGGTTTTCATGGGACGTGAAGCAGAGCAGAGAAAATGAGCTGGGGAAGAGAAAAACATCCAGAGTGTCTCAATTAAAGAAGAAGGACAAGATGTCGTCTTCACAACAGACACTTTGAAAAAGTATTTCATCATGAGGTACTTGTACCATTTCAGGCTACTTTATACTGACTCAGGTAAACTCATCATTCTCTATGAGTGATTTAGTTTCTGTTTATTAAACACTTTGCCGTCGTTGTTTCACTGTAAAGCAGCAGCTTCAAGATTAGTTTGATGGTTTGTGGGTTTTTTCTGGAATGACCTGTACGATCGGTTTAACAGCCACGTGGAGGATTTTACAACCAGAGAGGAAAAAAAACTGATTTCATCCTCAACATACGAGTTTTATTTTTAGGACAGAGACACCAGTCATTCAACCCAAACTGCAAAACTGCAGAGTTTAAATGCTGAAAATGTAAACGAATGAAATCACTGCCAGGGAAACAGTTTCATTTTCTACCTTAGCGTTTCCCATTTACTCAGAGTTTCTCAGGAAAGTTGCTTTGTGTGGTTTTATAATGTACAAGGGTTGGAGCAATTAAGTGTGTGTGTGTGTGTGTGTGTGGTCAGTGATTCAGGAGCAGACAGTAAAGGAGGAAAATGCAGAGCTACTTGTTTTGTTGTTGTCATCCTCAGTGAACAAGACGACGAACAGTTTCTAATTTGAAAATCCTCCATTTAAAGTGACTTGAACGAGGCTCTAACACCCTGTGGGGTGATCACCAACACGTCACATGTCGAGACCGTTACGCAATGACCGAGCTGCCGGTGCAGCGTTGGACACTAGGTGGCGGTAACACACAGAGAGAGGATTGCATCACAGCCTCTCGTGCATGACCTCCATGCTGATGAGATGATGAGAGTGAGAGGCTCAGACCGACAGGAAAGATGGAGGACGAGGTTTCCTCTGGACGAAGAGAACCATGTTCTGCTTCAAGAAGGTTTCTAACTGAATATCTTTAATAAAAGCAGGAGAGTTATGATGTAAAACCTCTGAATCGACAAAATCCAGATGGAAATAGGTTTGATTCCACCACAGCATCTGCACATGTAAATATTATCACCACATTCAACATGTGTGGATTTGGACTAATGTGTGTTTCTGTATTTTGAAAAGAAAGAAGATCTCAAGGTCGAACAATCCTACACCTGATCGTCTGGGTTTTATCATTTAAAAAGAGGAAATGTCGGATTAACTACACGACATATTTGTCGTAATAAATAGTTTAGTTTATTTTGTACATTTCAGAGTATTTAAAAATCAATACCAAACAAAACCCTGGTACTTGTGTCATGGATGAAAAAGGAGCAGGAGGAAGAAAATCTGTCACGTAAATAACATTATATAAAAACAGATTTCCATCGCTGTAGTTGAAGAAAGTGAAAATCCAGAGTCCTGCTACAATTTCCTGTCAGAACCTGATTAAGAGAAATTTAGTCGAGCCCAAGCATAAAAAACCGAGTGCATGGCTCAGCCGAAGAAACAGAACCAAGACCTGAACATCTTTCAGATGAATTCATGGATCAGTGGAAAACAGAGCAGAACATTAGGATGTGACAGTGAAAAGCTTCTCTCTCCGTCCGTCCATCATCTGCATCAGTTTTCCTCCGAGGGTCACGAGTGTGAGGTGGGACAATTTAGAACCAACAGTTTTCTGCATCTGATTTCGGAGCAAAACGTATTTCGAACAGTTTGTTTAATGTGTTACTGACAAATACAGATTACAGAGGACGTGGAACCGATTTAAAATGGATATGTTCACAAGTTACAGTAAAGATGGACGACATGATCATCGCCCCCTGGTGGCTGGCAGCAATATAGGTCATAAACTCCACCTCCTCCATGTAAGCGGATGGGACCAAACAGAAAAAGGAAGGATGAGGTAGGACTTTAATTCACCCACCTGCAGGACGACAGCTGCATTTGAACACAAGAATAAAATGTACTTCGATGTCCCCAGAGGATGAACTCTTCAGGTTTTAACATTCAAGTGGTGTTTTGCTTTAGCGCCACCATGAGGACAAAGTGTCAAAGTTGCAGAAAATACCTCTCACATTAATAATAATAATACTAATACTAATGACTTTAAATACTACTACGACTACTACTACTGATAATGATTATTATAATTATGACAATACTACTACTAATAATAATAATCATAATCACAATAACAACAATACTACTATTAATACTACTGATGATTATTATTATAATAACACTAATAATGATTATTATAATTATGAAAATACTACAGCTACTGCTACTAATAATTATCATAATCATAATAACAACAATAATACTACTACTACTAATAATTATTATTATTATTATAATAACACTACTAATGATTATTATAATTATGACAATACTACTACTAATAATAATAATAATAATAAAAACAACAACAACAACAATAATAATAATAATAATAATAGAGAGAGGGAGAGGGGGGTACGGGGGAGGAGAGGGAGGGAGACACTCAGGGAGAGAGAGAGAGGGAGGGGAGGTACGGGGGAGAAGAGGGAGGGAGAGACTCAGAGAGAGAGAGAGGGAGTGAGAGAGGGAGGGGAGGTACGGGGGGAGGAGAGGGAGGGAGAGAGGCTGGACCGGGAACAATAGAGAGAGACGAAGCCAGCAGTGGAGCAGCAAACAACCGAGAGAGCGAGAGAAAGAAAGAGGGGATGGATGGAGGGAGAGAGAGGGAGGTGAAGTGAGAACATGTGAGGACTCAGAGACGACAGGGATTCTTCTCCTCCTTTTATTTTCTGTCCGCTCCTTTGTCGCTGGATTCTATTGATTCCGGTATGAACCCTGCAGAAGCGGCCGAGGAGGCGCCAGGCGACCCCGACACTGATGCCTTCTACAAACCAGGTAGAACCAGGAGCTGCTGCACAGACACACAACACAGACACAAACACACAACACACAGACAGACACACAACCACAGCATCACAACAAGTCAGCTGAATGTCACCGGCAGCACATGAGAGCAGCTGCAGAGGAACCAGCTCAAGATGAGCGAGAAAATCCAGCTGAAAATGACGTGAATCCTGCTGTGTGTGCTGCAGGAGGGTGTTACATGTGTGTGTGTGTGTGTCTGTGTGTGTCTGTGTGTGTCTGTGTCTGTGTGTGTCTGTGTGTGAGAGGCACTGACGGTCTCCACAAAGGAAAGATAAGGAATTAAAGAGGAATCACAGAAGATCAGCTGCAGAAAAGCTCAAGATGTCTGTTCAATATGCTGCTGAAGGACGATTTGTGTCGAATCAGAGGTTTGATAACCATGGTGTGTGTCTGTGTGTGTTTGTGCATGTGTGTGTGTGTGTGTCTGTCTCAGTGTGTGTGTGTGTGTTACTGGTGCAGTTGGAAAAGAAAAGCACAGATGATTGTGACTAAACTGAGGTGAGAGAAAGTGTCTGTATGGTTGTGTGCAGGGTGAGATAATGGATATAGTGTGTGTTTGTGTGTGTGTGTGTGTTTTGCTAACAACATTGTGTGTCTGACACTTCTACCAGAGCATAATGGCTCCATCTCAGAGCCCATTGGCTGCTGCCTGATGCTGAACTAGTCTCTGGGGTCTCGATATTTCGGAGCTTCCAGTGCGGACGGCGGATATCCGGGCCAAGACTCTCCCTGTCCTCCGTTAGCCGTCCACTGCTCACAGTCCAACGACGTGAGGACGGTGTTTGAGTCGAGGGACGACGTCTACGACCAGATTTATTGAGCAAGTTTACAAGCGTCCTTTACGTCCGGGCGACATGTTGCCTCGAAAGGCCGATAGCTGAAGCGGTTCAGTCAATTAGTTTCCCCTCTTTTGCTCCACACATGTACGGTTTAACTTTTTGTCGATCGATTTCCAAACTGACGTCTTCAAACTGCTGCAAATCATTCACGTGATGTGAAACATGTCTGGAACTTGTACCGGAGCATAGTGGCTCCATCTTTTGTATGACGGCAAATGAGTCTCTTGAGTTGATGGCCAATATTTTGGAGCTTCCGGCATAGACAGCAGAAATCCGGGGCTGAGAGTCTTATCTTCTGTTCGACGTTCACTGTTTGGAGTCCAACGTCAGACGTGAGACGTGAGACTGGAGTCGAGGGACGTCCTCTAGGACCGAAGTCTTCACTAGCGAGGTTTACAATCTGAGAACAGTGGTGTTTTAGGTCCGGACGACATTTTGGCTTGAACAAAACGATCTCATTCACAGAATCTGTTTGTGCAGACGAATGGTTCCAAAGCTGCACTGGGCAAATTCATTGATCGAGTCGATCAGTGTTTGACTTCCTGTTTCCAAACTGACTGAAATCAGTCACGTGATGGGAAACAGTGAAGCAGCAGCAGCTCGTCACAGATGAGTTTTACTGCTGCGGACACGACTCACCTGCCTGTGTCTGGAACCATCGGTCCGCCGGCTCAACATTCACTGATGCTTTGACGAACACAAAAAGATCAATAATTATCTGGCTCCAGCTGCTTTAATATGACGATTTGCCGTTTGTCTTTGTCATGTGTCTTTGTAAAGTGATTATCTTTGGGTGGACAAAGACTGAAGGAATCATTGATTTTAAAAATCTAAATGATAGAAGAAGAAGAGGAGGGAGCAGCTGCAGTCTTCACCTCAGACCATAGAATGTTTGGGACGTTCATTTTGATGGTAGTAAAACTATATTGACATTACAGCTGATTGGGTTCAGTTAAATACGTCTAAATGAAAATAACCAGGTTGATATACAGATGTTATGCACATACACAAGTTAAATAGACTGAGTGGTGCAGCAGTGCTGGAGGGGGGACACACCCTGACACCCCCCCCCCCTGTGTGTGGCAGTGTAATTCAGTCCCATAACTTTATTATGAACAATCCAAGCCAAGGCAGTTTATTAAATCAAACACACACTTAACACTCTCTCTGTGAGGCGCTGTGTGTGTCGTCCACAGAAACACACACAGCTCCACGTGTGATCGGCTCCTCCGCCTCTTTCCCGTGATATTGCACGACCGTCTGCTGGAACGTGTCCAGCAGGTGGACGTGGAAATCCTCCGGTTGACTCATCGTGAGTCACGAGGGCCGAAAAATAAACAATCTGATTCATCGGATTCTGGTCAGAGGTTCGACAAACGTACGAGTGAAGTGGAGTCGCAGAGAGAGTTGAAGTCAGACGCTGCAGCTGACTCACATTAAACATCGTGTTTTCATGTATGTGCTTGAGTTTTTACATCGGCCATGTTGGAACCACTGGATCGATCACCACAAACTTTTGACATTTTTGTGAATTTGTTGAGAAACAGTTCAGAGATCTGGATGAAAATAAGGATTTAGAGCTGATTTATGAGTGTGTGCAGCTTTTCTGGATTTAAGGGACTGTTGGGCCTTGTTTGAGGTTTGTGCCGTTCAGCCGGGAAATGAGCAATCTCTTTCTTTTTCATAATGTGTGTTTTCTCCTTGTGCTCAAAATAAGCTGGAGGCTGCGTAATTATGTTTTATCTCGTATCTAAAGAAAGAATCTCCACACCTGCTGTGTCAATGTGAGATGCCCTCAGATGTCCAACAGTTTATTCTGCTTTGCAAATTAGAAAAACTACGACTGTGTGTTGGATTGTGTGTGGAGATGATTACGCCACAGTGTGATGCAATTGAATCTTAGTGTTAGTTTTGTTTGCTTCATATTTTTATGCGAGGAGGAAGAAAGAGACATAAAAAAACAAAAAAACAAAGAGCACATGATCGCATTAAAATGCACGACTGTGTTTGAACAGCTTTGACTTGAGTACAGAGGAAATTGGAGACGACTCAGTCGCCACCTCCTCATTTCATTTTCAGTAGCGATACCGATCTGTTAATGAGCCGATCATAAATCACCTTTGCATGTTTCTGACGTTGTCTCATAAAAAGAAGTTGACCTTACTCTTCTCCTCTCAGTCGACCATGTGTGTAACGTCTCCGCATTCAGTCCGTCCAGGAAGCTGTCAGGCTGCGTGGTGAGATAAGAAACACATGCTTGTGCAGCACAGCTTCTATCGTCTGGTATCATTTTAATTTTCCTTGTAAACTTTATCATGCATGTTGCTTCTGCAAGCGTTAAATACAAAATTTGTGGCGGTTTCAGTCCCATCACATCCCGTTACACACTTCAGGTGCTTTACTTCCTTTGTGACACGATGCTGCGTGATGTTAATACAATAACAACAGATCTGAGTCTTTGCGGAGGCGTCTTGCAGAATTCATGTCAGTAGATTTTTCTACCGACGTCTTTGATTTGCTCTACATAAAAACACTGATGTGTCCACAGCAGAATTTATACGTCATGTCTCCTGCTGCTCTACCCAGAATCCACCCCTCCCCTGAATGTCCAGACCCAATCTACGGTTAGCGCCTGAATGCATCACAGCACACTAGTTTCTGCTGCATTTCGTAAACAAAGGAGGAATAAATAGAGCTCAATCTGGATGAAATGATGTAGAGCGAGGACTGTAAACGCTGCAGAGAGGGCAGGAGGAGACAGAGCGTCACTTTCTGAGCTGAGCTAAAATCTACTGATTCTAAAAGTTGAAGTTTAAAAGTTAGGGTACGAATCTTTATTAGACATTCTACCAAAATCTGAACTATATTCAGCTCATCGATCGTAATGTGCTTTAACAGATGAATGAGCTGATTATAAAACTGTGTTTGTAGAATTTCTACATAAAAGCTCCACTCAGATTCATTCTACTCGTCAGTTACTTGTGTTTCCTGTCAACGCACTCGGCTCAGAACGCTTTTGAAAAAGTGAAGTCGATCTGTTTGAATGTTGCATCTATAGGAAGTGATTGAAAACAAAATGTTAAATGGAAATTATGCAGCAAGAATCCTTGGATTTAAAAAAAAAAAAAAGAGAGCAACAGAAGAGTGATTGACAAAGAGCAGAATGAATGAATGAGTGAGCAGTTCAAGTGCTCATCATGTGCCGGGCTTGAGTCTGAAAGCTCACACTCGAACGCAGGAAAGAGCAGCAGCTCAATGTTATGCTAATCATCCCGTTTATAAATAGAATCCCAAATTATCAGATGGGAAACGGGAAGTGACACGCACGCATTCATACCTACACACATGCAATCAGAGGTCTGAGAGTTCACCCGACGACTGACGCCGGCTGTTGATAAGCAACTAAAATCATGCAAATCACTATTTTCTTACAACAGAGCAAGTTTCACTTTGGTCTGTGTTCTCACCCAGGGCATGCTGGGAGATTGAGGCTACCCTCATGAACCAGACTCTTGCTAAAAGCTGCAGGTTGTCGTGGGGTTGAATCCCAGCGTGTGTCCTTCGTATTCCAGCAGTGAGGAGCAAGGTGGGCTCCCCGCTGTCCCACTGTCCCACTGTCTGCATGAACAGGTCATTAGATTTTATTCCCTCAGCTGGTGTGAGCCACAAACAACGTCTGTAGCTATGGTGATATGGTTTTTCCCGCTGCTTCGAGAAACAATAATGATAAAGACGTTTAATGAGCATGTCTGGTTTCGTCTAATCAGGCCGGTATCAATGCAGGAAACAAACAGCAGGACCAGACTGGAGCATCTGAAGCCGACCCCACGTTACAGGGTGGGATGTCGGGCTGTCTGACACGCGAGTCGACTGGTTTGTCGTCCAAAAGCAAGAAGGTTTCTACTTCTCACTTTATCACGTCAGGAAACATTTTCCTCAGGAGTTTATATTCACAGTCTGTTTCTAGAGATGAGAGACAGAGGATGGATTCAAACAGTCGTCCTGGATCACATCATGTTCCTGAAGACACGTCCACCAAACAGGACATTGGTCATTGGTGGACGAGTGTGATGGAGTTGCATGTTTACGTATCTGGTAGAAAACATTAAAGTGCAACCACGACTTTTAGTC